CTCACTGCACAACAGCTGCACCTTCAGCAAACCTCCTAATTCCTGCAGCACGAGGACTTTATGATTGTTTATGAGCGTCAAAAGTTGCTGATCTGTTCGCCGAAATGTTAGACAGCGTCACTGCATCCCAAACGACTAAAACAAAATAAATAAAGAAATGTCCACTGTGTTGAGCGAAATCGCTTACTGGACAGCGCATCATCGATGACGTAAGCGTGCCCAGGCCCAAATGTAATGTTAGTGCGGGCCGTCGTGGGAGACGGGAGGGGGGACAAGCGTGCTTTGGTCTGGTTCAGGGCAACTGTACATAGTGTGAATACACCCTAACTGGTCTTAGGCTGCAGGGTGATGTAGTTAAATTCATTCATGTTAACTAACTGATTTGTCCACTAGTAACTAATGGAGTACCTCTATTGTAAACTATTATCAAAATGTATTTTTACCCAAAAATTTAAACAGCAGAACATCTGACAACTTTCCCTCTTCTGCCGTTTTATACAAACGTTATACTTAGCGTTGCAATGTATCCAGCCTTGTGAAATCTACAAAATGTCATTGTCACATGAGAAAGTGTTGGACAAGGCGTCCTGCTCTCCTCATGCACATCCGAGCGCTCTCCTCTTCGACATCTTTTACCTGCTCTGATTGAGTCTTTTTTACAGGTCAGTCCTCATGAACCCGGCCCTGTCTGTTTTGATTTTCCCTTTTTCATTCCTGCTTGGGCACGTTCACGTTCTGCTCCATGCAGAAGAGGAAGGACGAGCAGGCGCTCCGCAGAATCCTCTCATTAACATGACAGGCCCAACCATGGCAACAATTAACTCCATTCAGCCACAATTCATCCCTCTTTTCAGGGCGCAGGGAAGAGATGAGAGGAGACGTGCGGGTCAGACTTTAGCGGAGAGTTAGAAAGATACAGACAGATACCGTTGACACTGATGGAGGTCTGTTCACAACATGATATCCCATTTTAGGGATGGACTGGTCATTGGGAGCATCGGGACTTCCTGCTGGACCAGTCGACTTTTAGATTTATATTTTACAAATGTTATTATACACTGTAAAACCCAACAGTCCATTTTATCAAATGAAATGAGTGTAACTCAAAATGTCCTGAAAGTTAATTCTACTCATTTGAAAAGAAATTTGAACTCACTGTTAAAGGTGATGAGTTAATTAAATACCTCATTACTTCAACTTAAATGAGGTAAGTTCACAGTACTCATATAGATTAGTTTAACACAAATGGTTTGTAACAATTGGTTTGCTCAAATGATTTGAGTTGACTTAACTTACAGGGTTTTACAGTTCTCAGTTGGCTTAAGTTCTCTTTATTTATTAGATTTACTGTGCTCCAATTGTTTCTTTTAATCAAATGGTTTAAGTTCACAGCACTCATTAGGATTAGTTTTTGAACTTGAATGGTTTGTAGCAATATTTGAGATATATTCAGTATAGCTCATTCTCCATGTGCTTGTATAATCATATTCTATAAATCTTATTTGTTCTTGTTACATCTTATGTAATCATTTAAAATTGTAAATTAGCATTAAAGTGATACACTGCTGGTAATTTTTTTTCATGCAACTGTCGGTCAATTTTGAGGTTTTGTTTTTTTTTCCTTTTCACACTACTTATGTTTAGAAAACATAAAAATTTGCACATTTAAATGGTTTTTCATGATTCATCCACATGTGTCTGTAAATTTCTACTACAGTACATGTTTTTTTACAATACCATATTAGTTTTTTTTTTGTCAATAAATCTCGACTTCAGCAGCAGCAGCGCCACCTAACTGCTCGGTAATAATCCTATCTATATCATGAAAGTTTTTTTTGCCCTGAGGGATATTGTCATACATTGTTTGCTTGATTATATATAACTTTTTATTCTGACTTACGTTTTATTGTAAATTTGAACTTTTTATTTTTATATAGCTGAAGATTATTAGTCCCCCTGTTTTTTCCCCCAATTTCGGTTTAATGGAGAGATTTTTTCAGCACATTTCTAAACATAATAGTTTTAATAAATCATTTCTAACAACTGATTTATTTTATCTTTGCCATGATGCCAGTACATGATGTTTGACTAGATAAGACCTCTATACAGTTTAAAGTGACACTTAAAGGCTTAATTAACTAGGCAGGTTATGCTAATTAGGCAAGTTATTGTATAGTGATGGTTTGTTCTGTAGACTATTAAAAATAGCTTAAAGGGGCTTATAATTTTGAACTTAAAATGGATTTTTTTTTTAAAAAACTGCTTTTATTCTAGTCAAAATAAAACAAACAAGACTTTTTTTTCGGGAGAAATAAATATTACCAGAGATTCTGGTAAAATTTCCTTATTAACCATTTAAAAAAAAAAAATAAAATAAATAAATAAATATATATATATATATATATATTTACATTTTATGTTTCAATTGTACCTGTTTAGTAAAATTATATTTAATATTTTATCCCAACATTTTACTTTGTGTGTACTAATGTTTGATATTAAGTGTATTTGTTGATAGGCCTGTCACAATAATCAATATGTCGACTTATCACACAACACATGGACAAGAGCTCAATCATTTTTGGTGATGCAATATATACAAGCCATACATAAAACCAACAATTCTAGCACAGTTCTATTGGAGGTGTCAGTATGGTTAAAAACACCATAGTAATGATTACTATAGTATATTTTCATGTGGGTGTCTAACAACTAAAATTAGATCTAGCAGATATCACAGCCTCTGTTACTTTTAACCTTGCAATTTTTAGTGAATGTTATTATTTGTTTAGGATATGCGTTTTACATTTTGATTCCAATGCCTCATTATTAATTTGGTAAAATGACTATAATTAAATTAAATATTCTTAAAAATAAAATATTATGTGTTCTTTGGAAGAGTGTACTTGCGTGGTGATGATATTATTATGTTGTCATTCTGGCATTATAATGAGTGGCATAAAATGGTCTTAAAAATGACAATAATATTATTTATTGCATTATATTTTACAACAAAAAATAGATTGTGACAGGCCTACTTGTTGGATTAGTTCAATCTTGGCTTTGCACTGACTAATCTAATGTGTATGCACAACGATATTATTATGATTATTAATTATATATTATTATTCTTATATAATAAATCTGTGAGGGATGTTTTTATTTGCGATGATTTTTATGTATGTAAGATTGTAATACAAAAAAATTATTGCTGTTTTTAATGTATTTAATTGTAGAAATATAGTGACAACAAATCTTCTCCACCGGCAGTGTCTTGCCATCATCACATGTGCAAAAATCAGATTTGTATTTCAACCTATTGCTTTAAACTGTTGTTTACTGTTTCACAGGAGAATAAAATGTTGCCTGAAATTATGGATACCTTTGTTTTTTGTTATGGACTCCTGTGATAATGAGTTTCAACACCTCAGTGCTTTTCACAATTAGTTGAATTGTTTCCCTGTCATTTCCAATTATTCTTACCAAATGTCCATGACAAACCATTGGGATAGAACTTCCAACATTCCGATGAAATCTTCAGGACATCACCATAATCAAGCATGTAAAACACAAACAGTGTTTACACTACTTCAGATCCATCATCTGGATATATAACAATTATCAATATAATCCAAGCTAATTATGAAGATTCCACTGTGTTTGATTTATTGCCTTATTAAAAATTCATGGTGGCTTATGATGGTTTCGCCAACTCAGAGCATGATATTACGTATATACTGCATTTAGTGTAGCTCTGTCATTAAAGTACATTTGTTTTTCAAAAGTTGTAATCAAAGAAAATGCAAAAAATTATTCCATCATTGTCTGTAATCATGGCAGTTAAAACGTGAATGAAACGTAATTAATTGTGTGCTGTCATGGTGCAGTGGAAAAGCAGATTAATGAAACAATTCTCTGCCCCACCAATAGTCTAGACCAACAAATAACTTTCTTTGAGGCCCAATATTATTACAGTAATATAATAATAATAATAATAATTATTATTATTATTACTATTATTGTTATTACTGGTAGTATATTGAAGTTATAAATTTAGTGTGCACTGTTATGCAAAGATTGTTACAAATGAAGATTACAAACAATAGTTGAATAATATTGCTATTAATGGTAATAATAATAATAATACAAAATAATAATGAATAAAGTAGATTTGTGAATTACAGATGTTTTGCTGGATTTTCTTTCTGAAGCAAACACCTTAAAAATGTTAATAATTTAGGGTTAGCTCATTCTAATATAATAATTTACTCAACCGAGTTTTGTGTTGGCGAGGCTTAGAATTAGAAGTAATAATGTTCAATGTTCACTTCAATGAGTTGCCAGGAGCTACAAATATTAATATTGTGTTACAAGTAATTTATTTTACAAATTACAAATTGACCACTGCTTCTGCTAAATAAAAACCTACTTGAGAGTTTTTAATGCATTAAAGCTGCTGAAAAAGTTTCAGTTTGTAGATTTAAAAATGTCATGAAACAGGATGTGAAATTGAAGCTTCTATTTTAGTAATTCAAAAAACCATCTTATTTCCGTTTGATTGCTTCAACCACAATCCCGTTTGATGATGCTCATACCAAATTATACTTTATGTAAACAAATAATTAGGCTTTTATCAACGCATGTCTTCTAGTATTGCCTAAAACCTTCGTTCGTGAGAATATATTACCTCAGGGGATTGACTCATAAAAAAAATCCCTACTCAGATCCTACTAAGCATGACTAAAGGCCATATATTGCCTCATACAGAAGATACACGGGGATCGTCTGTTGACAACTGACATGCAATCAATGTTAAAAACAGTCTTCCTTCTAAACACAATCAGCATCTCACAAAAAATAGATGTAGTGTGTTTTTTATAGTCCCATTGAAGTACACATCCTGTTGGAGCGTCGCAGCTGCTGGGTGTGTGCGCGCGAGCCAAACGGCATTTTGACCTCAAAAACCCTGTTGCACATCTGGGCGGAGGCGCATGCGCACTAAAACTAGGTGAACTGCTGGAACTCGCGAGCAACTTTTCAACGAGTTCCTCTGACTTTTTCTAGTTATGACCTCTCGCAAAATTTGACACCAGGCAGTTTATCGAAGGGGTGGCGTAAACGGATACGTGAAGAAATCAGACTCAGTGACGTTGCACATCCTATGTTTCACATGAGGAACTTTTCTGCAACGCTATAAATTGGACAATGTTGCGACAGCCCGGGAGAGAAGGCGCTGTTGTTTTGAACTTGACATTGTTTTTATATCACTTTATGTAAGAGATTGTCGCTTTTAGGCCCTCTCTTATTATTTTTGATCCGCGGATGCATAACTCATTATCGTCATGACAAAGGAAAATCTTTGGAGCGTGGCAACCACGGCGACTCTTTTCTTCTGTTTATGCTTTTCATCTTTTAAAGCGGAAACCCCATCTTGTCATGGTGCCTACGACCTGTACTTTGTGTTGGACCGGTAAGTACTCGCAAACTTTCAAGTTTCTCTGAATTAAAGGTTTTAAAGACACAACTTTCTTATAAAGCATTGTTGTATTGTAAACATCACACTAGTCCCGTGTATAAATGTAAAAATACGATTAAGGTCCAGTCCGCGTCAGCTACTTTACAGTTTGGCTTGATTTTGTACATGTGTTAGGCACAACAGTCTCGTTCAGGGGCCACACAGAAGGATGCTTTGCTCAAAAAAAAAAAAAAAAAAACTTTACACAAGTGTTTTTTTTTCTGGAAAAGTGGGAAATTATTTGAAAAGTAAAAGTGTACATGTGAAAATATGTTTTTGATGTTCATCTTTCTAAGTTATAGCATGTATAACACAAGTTGTCTATCTATCTATCTATCTATGAATCTATCTATCTATCTATCTATCTATCTATCTATCTATCTATCTATCTATCTATCTATCTATCTATCTATCTATCTATCTATCTATCTATCTATCTATCTATCTACAGGCCCATAGCCAGCTTGGCGAAAGGGGTGTTTTTTTTTTTTTCAAAAAGTAGAACTTTTTGCAGTTATGTGCCTCGTTTTTTATAATTATGAGGTGTAAATACTGCATTTTAAGAAATTTGGCTTATATTCTAGTTTTAGATTAACTTGTCGCATGGTCACACTTTTTGATGTATGAAAAACATTTCCTAAAGATTTAGAATAAATAAATAATACAATAATATACAAAAAATATACAATACTTATTTTAAAAATACAAATTAATTACATTATATATCATTAGATAAAATAGGCCAATTATTATTTATTAGGCAAATAACAAACTGACTAGCACATTCTACTTTCCCAAGGCAGACTTTGGGACACCGAATTTGGCACCAAAATTAGGTTTTTCGATGGGTTATTTTCACAATTTATTATGGCATAGCAGTCAAAATAGGACAAATGTGCTCATGTATGGGACAAATTCTGGACCTTTGTCAGTGAGGGGTAGGTCTTCCGAACCACCCGAACCCGTCCTGGCTTTGGGCCGGCTATCTATCACCGTTCTGTTGAAGATATCATGAAAATACTGTCATCACTTACTCTTCCTTCACTTGTTCCAAACCAGCTTGAGTTTCTTTCTTCTATTGAACACTAAAGAAAACTTTTTGTAAGAAAAAACTGTAAGCCTGTAACCATTGACTTCCAAAACATTTATCTTTCTTACTGGTAAGTTCATGGTTAAAGGTTTTCATCTTCAAAATATCTTAAAGAAACTCAAGGTTTATACCTATTTGAGGGAGAGTAAACAACAGTGAGTCAATTTTCATTTTCTCTTTAACTCGGTTTGTCATCAGTATACTGGTTTACTGGTTTGTATTAAATTACACTCGTTTAAGAACAGTTTTTGGCCTCAGTGCAGTCCTTCTTCCTGTTGGGGAATATTACAGGATGATGGCACAGATATGCTCTTTGCACTTTTTGAAAGAACTGAGAGCAGCACAGAACTAGCCAGGCATAATGACCGGTCAGGAACATCAGATCTGCCCTACAGTGTCTGTGGCCGGAAATTCAACTTCCCTTCATACTTCCAAACTAAAGGAGGTTTGATGTTCTCAGATTGTCCCACTAAAGCTTTTCTCAATTCTCTGACCTTGACTTGAAACAAGGAAGAAGACAATGCATAAAAAAAAGATTTTCTAATTACCTATCGCTTGTGTTTTATGTTCTCAGCACATGCAGTGGACTATAATTATTAGTTCAATTACCTTGTAGCTATTACATCAAGGGCACATTTTACACACTTTTCTCATTAAAAAACATGGAGGTGAAAGTCACAGAAATCCACTTCTACTTGAATTTATTCATGGACTTTTTTTATTGCAAAATGTACATATATCGATAATGTAAAAACAACTAAAATAGTTATGAGATTGTCTATGAAAATGTGTATAAACTGTAGAGGCCTACGCTGATAACACAGCTCAGTTTGAGTGTTTGTTGTATTTGCTGTAGCCACTTACTCTTCTTTGTCTTTTTTGAGACCAAAGATCATGTTACCTGTCCCATTGATGTACAATAATCTCCTATTAAATGTCTTAAAATTTGTTTGTTTGTTGGCTAGTCCATATACCAGGGAAATATTTGACCATTCTGAGACTTCCAGGTATTCAGTGATGAAATGTTTGCTTATCAGTATAATATATCAATTCTGGCTAACACTTTATAATAACTACACACTATGAATTATTTATTAAACATTAGCAAATAGTTCATTAATTATCTGTGTTGTAAAAAAATAAATGAGTGAAAGAGAGAACCCAGTCCAGGAGACTTGAACAAGCAGAAGAATATCTTTATTAAGACATGTTGGTTATTCTGCAGTCATACAGCGTCTTCAAGAAGTCCATGTGTCTGCAAGAGCCTACTGGAGGTCTGCAGTCTGCGAGTTTTATCACAAGTCTGAATTAAGACAAAGGTGTTCTGTCTATAATGTCTTTTTAGGAGGAGGGGAGATGGCTAAACAAAGCATACAAATTCAGTATTGGAGTCAGCATGATTACCAGCACATAGGTGTTTGAAATCTGCCCAACTACTGACCACACAAGTTAATCAACAAAAGGGGTTTCTTTGGTCTGAAAGTATCACCCGAAGACAAAGGCAGTGTCGTTAAAAGCCTGACTGTAGCATCTGCATCACTTTGGCTTAGCCCGTAGTCAGAAAGAACCAAAGAATATATCTTTTCAGTTATATGTAGATTATTTAAACTTATATTTCCACATCTGATAAGCATTAACAACTCTATATATTAACATATGTTAGTAAGCAGTTTATAACTGCAGATGCAAAAGCACTAGGCGTGACTTATAATCACATTTATAATGTGCCTAATGACTATATTTTCATACTTCGTTATTTATTATTATTTTTTTTTACTAAATTGTTTTGCATAAATACAAATTAGTTATTTGAGAGAAGTTGCTGTTTCTTAAGCATTATTTAGAATGTGTAAATAAATGATTAATAAACTGTTCAAATTAACATTTATATATCCTAATATTCAGGCATATATTAATAGTTAATTTGTATGTTAATAAATGCTTTATTTATTTTATCCAGTTTTGTGACATAAATGAGAACTATGTATGCTTTATAAATCCCTTATAAATGACAGTTAAAGGCTAGGTTATATTCTAAACAGGAAAAAAAGAAAATCAACAACCTAATTTCTATTGATTTAAAGATACACAAATGAATCTGTATCAAATGGAAAATAAATCTGTGCAATCTTAACTAAAATAAAATTACTGTGCAGTTTAAACATTGCTAATTAACATTGAAATGTTGTATCGTAATATATTGTTCAATTATTATATCGTTGTTGGTTTTTTGTCCAATTTTGTTATATTTTGACACTCCTGTTATTCCTAAAATGTTTAAACTTTACAGTAATTTTACTTTTTAGATAAGATTACGAAGACGTATTGTTCATTTGATACTGATCCTTTAATTGTCCTTCATAAGATATTTATGCAGCATAAATAGTCCTCACTTTAGATTAGGTCACAAAACTGAATGAAGTTGATTAAATGAAGCAGTTATTAACAGAAACAATTAACTATTAGTATAAGCCTGAATAATAATATATAAATGTTGATTTGAATAGTTTTTTAATAATTTATTAACTCATTCTGAATAATCTTTAAACACTTTAACTACTCTTAAATACAAACAATTTGTAAAAACTTAATTTAGTCATAAAAATGAATTAGTAACAAGATATTAAAAGTGCAATTATTAAGCACATTATAAGTCAAGAATATATCATTTCTATTATAAACTGCTTATTAAAGTCTATTAATGTAGATTTCATGCTTAACAGATAATGGATTAACTATCTGCTAATGCTTAGTAGATGATTCATAGTGTGTAGGTATTGAGCAATTCCAGCACTATGGATGTGAAATTTGCAGTAAAAACTTAAAACATAATCTCACATAGAAAGTATACGTTAAAATTATATTAAAACATCTGTTTATATTTTCCAAAACAACTAACCACAGAGTTATGGGAGCAGAAAAATATCAATCTGTAAACATTTTTTATGTTTTAAAAGAGGAAAAAAAAAACATGCATTATGGATGTGACAAAAAAAGTCTGCGAGTTTCAGTATACAACATACTTTGTTGAAATTCTGTGAAATAAGTCAAAGAAATAATGATAATCAAAATAATAAGAACTGACTCTCTATAGAACAAACATAATTGATTTTATTTTATTAAACATTTTTGCATTTATGAAGGAAAAGCTTTGTTATGGATGTGACACATTCACGTTATGGATGTGACGGATGTGAAATTGCCACTTGTGTGACTTTGGTAAATCAAACATAATAGTTTGAAAACATTGACAGATACATTTTTGGGTATTTTAAAGTACCGGAAAGTACTTGCTTACACAAAAAATGTTGAAATTGTTTCTCTATTTTGGTGAAAACTTTTTTGACATTTGCATGGAATTGCTCTATTATAAAGTGTTACTCCACTTTATATCTAACAGCCCGTCAGTGGACAATAAACAGTTTATATGGATTGACAGATTAAAACGTGAAATTACAAAATAGTCAATAATTAAAAATATTTAGGTTTCAGTGTTACTGTTAATTTTAAAATGGAAATGAAATGCAAGCAGTAATTGAGCAAATGTGACTGTATGTTAGTGTATGCAGTAAAGCAGTCAAATTTATTTCTTAAATGCATTTGGATGTTTGGTGTTGGATGATGCAATGATTTCGAGATTGTGTTATTGCAGGATCAAGTGTTGCTTAAAACAAAAGTGGCAGTAGAAATGCAGTGTCTTGACTCAGTGTGTCTTGATGTCATAGCATGGGCTCTGTCTCAAACCTTTTATAGATAGACTCTGTCATTTCTTTGAAACCGTGTTAACACTGAAGCATAGCTGACTCAGCAGGGTATTTACCACAGTGTAATCAGTAGCACAGCTCTTATAATAACTACAAAGACATAAGACATTTTACTTAATGGTTTAAGTATAATTGGTTCTAGCTGTTTTTTCTTTCTTGAAATTGTTTTCATTATTGCTGCTGACAACATTTTTAATGTGCTTCATTGCAGATCTGGAAGTGTTTCGACTGACTGGAGTGAAATCTATGACTTTGTCAAAAATCTTACAGAGAGATTTGTGAGGTAAATAATATTTGCTTTCTTTTCGGTTATTGTTTTATGTTAGGTTTAGTTTGTGTGCTTTAAGTTTTTTATGGTCTTTTTTCATCCCATGATAAAAATTCTGCAATCATTTACTCATCCTTAACCTATACAATGTTTGTTCTGAACATAAATTAAAATATTTGTAATAAAATCTGAATGACTTCTGTTTGGGCAGCACGGTAGCTCAGGGGTTAGTACTGTCGCCTCAGAGCAAGAAGGTCGCTGGTTTATGTCCCAGTTGGGTCAGTTGGCATTTCTGTGTGGAGTTTGCATGTTCTCCTGTGTTTGCAAGGGTTTCCTTTGAGTTCTCCGTTTCCCCCCACACTCCAAAGACATGCTGTATAGGTAAATTGGATGAACTAAATTGGCCTTAGTGTATGACTGCTTGAGTAAATGAGAGTGTATAGGTGTTTTCCTGTACTGGTTTGTGGCTGGAAGGGCATCCGCTGCGTAAAACACATGCTTTTTATAGTTGGTGGTTCATTCTGTTTTGGCCACCCCTGATAAGTGAGGAAAAAGAATGAATGACTTCTGTCTCTCCTTTGAAAGTCATCCTCACTATCCTTCGGCTTAGTTACTTATTTGTCAGAGGTTACCACTGAGGAATGGACTGCCAATTACTCTGGCATATTTTTTATGTGATGGATGCCCTACTGGATGCCCTATAAATACTACAATACCACTACTACTACTACTACTAATAATAATAATAATAATAAGTCCAAGTTTTCTTCAGTGATACGATTACATGTCATTAACATATTTCAGTCTTTTGTTCTAATATAAACATCCTTCAGCAAAGATAAACATTCTTGTGAAAGATCAAATTTGTTGATGTGACACAAGAATGGACATCAATGGTTCTCACATGCCAAGCAAGCATGACCAAGACTCAGGCTGATTTATACTTCTGCGTCAAGAGCACGCGTATGTTCCAGCGCAGCCTTTGCGTGGTTGCATAGCACTCACCGTGACTGACGCGCACCTCTCCAAAAATTTAACTACACGTCGCAACGATGCATAGCGCAAGCTCTGTGATTGGTTGGCGGGGTAGCGCTTATGATTGTAGGTGGGACTGAGAGCCGCGCGAATGCGTTGGAGCAAGTGTTTAAAGGTGTCGAGTCCCATGATGGTGCTCCAGGTGAAATGTTTTGCTTTGTGTTTACCTTACAATTAAAGTTGTTGCACGTCCGCCAGTTCCTGCCTCTGAATAAGCAAGTTTGAGCCACTTGTATGTTAAGGTAGCATTCAGAAAAAACAAATAACCTGCAAAGAAACTTGACACAGAGGAACATAAAAACCTACTGCCAGCTGTCGTTTCGAAAGTGTTGTTGCAGAGCAACTCAAACAGCATGCAGAAGTATAAATGCAAGGCATGCTATGTGGGTGACGCCGATCACTATACACAGAAGTATAAATTTTGCTTCAGTAAGCACATATCCAAGAATCAAATTTCAATATTGTAAAGATGTGTCTTTAGAAGACTAAAGTCATATCGGTTTTTAAAAAAAAAAAAAAATTTAAATCTTTTTTATTTTGGGTGAACAGAATACAGATATTTTATATAATACAGATATTTTAAATAGTGTTCTGAAGATAAACAAATTTATCATGGGTTTGTTTGTAACAACATGATGATGAGTAAATGATGGCGCAATGTTCATTTTGAGTTGAACTAATGTTGAAATACTGCCAAACAAGTCAGTTGTACAATACCTCCCAATCAACCACATCAAAAGAAGTCCTTAATCATTCATCAACTTCCACCAAAGCTAAATGCTAACTTGTCTACACAGCAGCTACATATCCGGTTCTAAGTTGGCCCTACATTGGATAAAAAAAAAAAACAACATTAAAAAAATCGCCAGATGAATGTGAACTTATGTAACGTTGACTCAATGTATGTGCCAGTACAGACGGTAGCGACCTAGCCAGAAGAAAGCAGTCTGCTTGAGAAAATAGCAAAGGGAGCAGGTGGGAGTGGGTGGCAAGGAGGCTCAGTCTTCTGGGCTGTGAGAATGGCCATTTGCACTGCAACCATCCAACAGCACACTTATCCCTCACACATGAAAGGAGAAGACGCAGCCAATGTACTTTAAGTCATGAGTGCAGGAAGACCAGCGCAGCCTGCCATAGACTCTGATGGTCTTCTGTTGTGCCATGTGGTCTGCACTGGCTCTCTTTAGGGTCCCTTTTTTAACCATGAATGGACCTGCAATCTAAATACATCTTCTTGGAATTACCTTAATGCCAACATGAGGGCTTCCGCTGGTATTTATCTGACAGATGCGAAAGATAACTCAAAGTTATGACTTATTCTTGATATCTTCAGGGAAATTGAAAGTTTATTTCTTTTTTAGGGCAATTCCTCAGTCACACAGGGTATCGTAATACCATTTGGCGAGTCATTGTTGTATTTATCACTCAATCAGCCTGTGAAATGTTCAGTCCTTCTGCCTCTTCATTTGATTTTTGTAACCAAATTTTGGCTTCGGCTGACACGTTTGGATGTTCTCCCTGAGAATCTCATGTGGGGGATGGTTGTGGATTGGATGTCATTCTGAGTGAGAAAAAGCAGCACCTCTCCTTATGCTCAGTCCTGAGACCTGACTTCAAATGTGTAGAGGAACCCAACATGTTCCGATGCTGTATCAGCTTTCGTGACAGAAGGTTGTGAAAAAGACCAACTGCTTCATTGAGATGTACTTGTCAAAATCAGCGATATATTTGTTGTCAGATGAAGTGTCAATTTCTTTCTGAGTAAAGAATGATATTCCGATATCATTAGTAGATTTTATTATTAGTTTTTGGAGATGTAAATAAAGCAGATTAGTGTGGTTTTTACAAGAAAATGCTACTGTACTTCATGGCTTTAATGGATCACTATTACATTTTCTTGCAATTTTTAGTAAAATGTTTTTTTCAGTTTTTCTGTTTATAATAAATTTACTCAACAATCAGTTTTTGTAAACCAGCAGATTGGTAAATGCGTAACAGCTTCAATGTGGTTTCTAATAAAAATAATTAAAACTGTTTTTGCTAACTAAAACAATGTGGCATGAAAAATGTTGTACACAAAAGTACTAAAATTTCTGATGTTAAAAGTAAACAAAATTTAAGTTAAGTAAAAATTAAGAAATTAACCAAAATTAAGAAATTAAACAAACAAACAAAAAAAAAAGGAAATGGAGAAAAACTGAAAGGGAGAAATAAATATATAGTATATACTGTAAGCATAATCATAAAAATGTGGATTCAAACATATGACTAGTGAAATAATAGTTATAATAATTATAATACTTAAAGAGATATTTTTTTCCACAATGATGCCTCTTGTACATTGTCTTATTATTATTTGTTAGAAGCCTGTTTCATTTTTTCCCAAAACAAAGACAAACTTATTGGTTAAATAGTCAGAATTTGCCAGAATTATTAGCCCTGTTTATTTCCCCCCTCCCCCCCATTTTCTGTTTAACGGAAAGAAGATTTTTTTCAGCACATTTCCAAACATAATAGTTTTAATAACTAATTTCTAATAACTGATTTATTTTTTCTTTGCCATGAGGACAGAAAATAATATTTTACTAGGTTTTTTTCAAGACACTTCTAAACAGCTTAAAGTTAAAGGCTTAACTAGGTTAATTAGGTTAACTAGGCAGGTTAGGGTAATTAGGCAAGTTATTGTAATATGATGTTTTGTTCTGTAGACTATCGGAAAAAAAAGTAGCTTAAAGGGGCTAATAATTTTGTCCTTAAAATTGTGTTAAAAAATAATAACTGCTTTTATTATAGCTGAAATAAAAACAAATAATACTTTCTCCAGAAGAATAAATATTATCAGACATACTGTGAAAATTTCCGTGCTTTCCTTCCTATATATATATATATATATATAGCTATAGCACTACACTAGAAAAATATCTTTAAGTATTATTTTTTTTACTTGTCAGGTCTGAATCCACATTTTATGACATCACTGTTCACAGAAAAGTTGTAAGTCGGCTCGTTTGTCCTATTCCTATTGCAAAAGGTAGGAGGTATAAATGGGTATAAATATAAGGTATAAATATAATCACCAACAGGATGTCTGCATGAATCACACATGACAACCTGTTTCCTGTCTGCCCATCAATTAATCACTTACTTGGTCCAAACAGACGGGATTTTTTTTTCCCAGTCACAAGCTTTTATTAGCTAGTCACATTGGCTATCTTACTCATAAACCATCTCTGATGATTGCGAAAGCAACATGAGGACAGCTAGACTTTCAACATCATAGGATTTCTCTCAGAGCACCGTATTCACCAACGCTTGTATTTAGCTTTATTAATAAGATATAAAATCAAGTCACTTCTAAAGAGCTGTTTTGTTGTTGTAAAAACGAAATGTCAAACTAGAGCAGCTGTACTTGATTTTGCATTTGACTCTCATTGACATGTTTTTCCTTTTTCCCTTTCTTTTTTTCATTCCAGTCCAAATCTGCGAGTGTCCTTCATTGTTTTTTCATCAAGAGCAGAGATTGTGTTACCGCTCACTGGAGACAGGTACAGAATCCCAATTGCATGAAGTACTTGGAGATCCTAATGTAAGAAAGCTGGTAATATGACTCATGTTTATGTTACAGGGATTAACATATAACTTGCTTTTCATTATTAGGTCAGAAATTAATAAAGGCCTGAAGACCTTAAGTGAGGTCAATCCAGCTGGAGAAACATACATGCATGAAGGAATTAAATTGGTAATTAATATATGCTTTATTTTTTTTAAAGAAATAAATATGTAAAAAGATTAGAGCTTTCTTTTCATGTTGTGTACAGTCACAATTGTCCAAAGGAAAGACTATGTGTTGTTCAATAACTTTGGGAAAGCTTTAATTTGATCCACTTCACTACTGTAGACAGACCTAAATTCTGCTTAACTGATTTCATGTACTTTAGACTTGCTGGAATAAACAAAATAAAAGAAGGTAAATTGTTTGGTTCCCTTCATGACCAAGATAAGGCGTAATTACATCTTTGTAAATAAACACACCCCCTTTAATGTCCTGAATCTAGCCGTGCCTGTCTTTGTTACTGTACATGAACTATTTTAATTTATTATACAAATATATTATATTATATAGTTAGAATAAATATAATATATTTTTTTATTTTTTTAAAGTTTTTAATCATGCAAAATGATCAATACTTTCCTCTTTTCAGGCAACTGAACAAATGAAAAAAGAGCCTAAAAAGTCCTCTAGTATTATTGTGGCCTTGACTGATGGAAAGCTTGAAACGTATATCCATCAACTCACTATTGACGAGGTGAGTTGCTTTCTAACACTTGATATATTGTCAATTTATGGCAATAAATGATTACTTGGTTATAATCATTTGTTTCTATATAGGCTGATTCAGCAAGGAAGTATGGGGCTCGTGTGTACTGTGTTGGTGTAAAAGACTTTGATGAAGAACAGGTAATATTGCCATTCCAGCAAATTTCAAAATAGCAACAAACCACTTATCTGCAATAAGCTGAAACGCCACAATTATTTTGGGACAAATTAGCTGTTTTATGTTCAATGAACTTAAATTTGCTACGTTAACGTAATCGATTTATGTTGGGATAACAAATAAATTGTGTCGAACTCTGCATTTTTTACAATGTACTACAATACATGATTACACTCAGGCCTTGTTTACACTAGCTTTTTTTAAAACACCAATGTTTTGGTACGGTTATGCCTTCTGTCCACACTACCCCAGAGTGAAACAGAGCGTTTTGAAAATGCTAAAAAGGCCGTTTTCAAAAAAGCTGCTTCTCCATGTCAGTGTGGATAGGGGAAAATGGAGGCTGATTGGGGCTTATTTTTAAGTGCACTAAGTTCTTGCATTCTTTCTTTAAGTTTAGACTTCACAAGTTTGATATGCAAAACAAAATCCCAAGGACACGTTGGGTAAAAACTGTGTACTGTATTCCGTCATTTGCGTCAACAATAAAATGAGAACATGTTATAAGGAACTGCCTATTTTTATTTTGATATTAACATAACAGACACTAAAATGTTGAGGCATCATGCAGTTACATGTTTATATGACTGTCATCTTCACTGTATGCATATTTATAACAAAATAGAGCCTATAACATAACTTTCACCTTTTATTTTCATTGAAAAATACGAAACATACCCTGTCTCTTTTGCTGAATATTAGTTTTAATAATCAATAATGGCCATTATAAAAGTATAACGTACAATAAGTTTATACAATATAGGAACTAAAAGCAAGCAATCAGTCAAATTTGCAGAATCAGTGTACGTGGTTACATAAATTAATATATTAACTTATCTATCCAGCCAGAACATGTTACCTGAGAGCAAGTAATAGATTCAAAAGACCATTAGATAGAGACAAGATGAATTAAATTTCACGTTTGACAACTATAGTGGGATAAAATCTAGCGGTAGATCCTTGATGAACTATCCGACATGTGGTGCTTTCACCCCGGGAGCTGTGCTCAAAGCACCCGCTGACTGTCTGGAGCTCAGACGTCCGCATACACTGCAGAACATGCCAGAGTGTGTGTGGTCACGAGATGTGGGTTTTCAGCAGTGTAGTGTGGACAGAGATCTTTTCAGAAACTTTAGGTGAAACGCCAGTGTGGACGTGGATCGTTTTCATTTTAAAATGTCATTTTAGGACTAAAATGTATTAGTGTAAACAGGGCCTCAAACACTTCACAAACTCTCTCAAGCTTCACCAAATGCAGAACGTAGCAGTGTTCCCTGTAATTACAAAACTGCTACTCTCCTCTACTATTTGTAGTGATGACAAATTAAGCTAAAGGAGAGGAAATGTCAGCACATTTGTTTTGTTTTTTGTTTGGCTATCAGACCTCTTATTATTATATCTCTTATTTGACTGCCAACAGCTAGCCGATGTGGCTGATTCCAAGGAGCAAGTGTTCCCAGTCAAAGGAGGCTTTCAGGCTCTCAAAGGCATCGTTAACTCGGTAAGTTTTCCATGCCATGGGGCACCCATCCCAAATAGATGCCTCTGCATGTGTTTTAGTCAGCTAAAACAGATCCATTACCAGCTAGTAAGTAGTACTACTTAGATTTGAAGTTAAATCAATCTAGATCTTAATTTACTAAAACAATAATAATAAAAATGCTTCTATGTTTTCAAATAAATAAATAAAATATCATAACATTGTAAAATCTGAGGTTGTAGGTAAATATTGAATTACTCTCCGGAGGTGATATGTCTTACTACTAGCTTTTATGATTCATGACTCCACATACCATGACAGTCCCACATACCTTTGTGAATACTAAGATGACCAACAATGTCTCTTTGACCCATCTTCAAAGAACATTGCAGATGGAGAGTGGGATGGGAGGGGGGGGTATATTTATACCCATTTTTGTTTGCACACTCACACACAAACGCTCTCCATATTGAAGGTTCACTCCAAGGTGCATTTAATGTGTGTGTTTGTAACCTATATGTTGTGTCCTATAATCTTTACAGTAGCCTGCATTGTGGGGGCATTTATTAGATCTGAGAAGGCATAAATCATGTTTTATGTACGCTTAAAACTATCATGTTTAGTAACGTTGCATTCCTCAGGTAATCCCATAACCCATGATTTAGAACTTCTGATGATATATTGTATGGTTTACATTCTTTTATACCGTGAGTTAAAGGCTAATACGCCCACTTGAACCATCTTATCAGATAACCAGTGAGGAGAACAAAGGAAATATTCCACTTAAACTTTCTCCTCAAGCCATTGGCCAGTCAAGAGAGAGGGGGCGTGACCTGATCAATAGCTTAAATTCATACCACACCTCAATATCTAGGCAGAAGTGCAGAGGGTCATTCCCAGATGTCCATGTAGCCTAATTTTTGACCAAACTCTTGAGTTTGTTCTCTCTTCCGCAGTTTAAACTCAAGTATAGTTTCGTGCCTTACTGGATCCTCCAACCTACCTTTATAATAATAATAATTAATAATAATATCTGATATGGATGTAACTTATAAATATGGATAAAAATTGTAAATATGGATGTCCTATTTTCAGTTTTAAATAATGCATGTCAATTCTTTTAGAACAGCCGTTAAAAAATCTAGACTTGCGTGTGAAACTTCCACTGTAGTATTGAGAGATGACTCATATTCCATGTTTGTTTGTTTAGCTTTAAGGATATAATCCTTTGGTTAGGTATAATAACTAATGTAGTAGTAATGTGATAAGAGGTGAAAGGTTTAATTCTTTGATTGATTCATAGTTGCCGTCTGTGGAGTGAGTTGCAATTTATGAACGGAACAGAGTTTATGAATGGAATTGCAAGTGCTCATTGGTTAACCCCTCACACATTTCGTGCATGTCCCTGTTAGGCATGAATGATACAGTCAAACCTACGGGAAGCAAAACATCCCTTTCCAGTCTCAAACTTAAACAATACTAATTCCTTAAATTTATATAGCGCTTTTCAAGACACTCAAAGTGCTTTACACAATAGGGGATCTCCTCATCCAGCACCAGTGTGTAGCATCCAACTGGATGACGCGATGGCAGCCATATTTTACCAGACCGCACACCAGCTGATTGGTGGAGAGCAGACAGAGTGATAAGGCTAATTATGATATGGGGATGGTTAGGTGGCCATGATGGACAGAGACCAGTGGGCAAATTTGGCCAGGATACCAGGGTTAAACCCCTACTCTTCAAAACTTCAAACTACCTTCAAACTCCACGCACACGACACAAGGACTTCCTAAGAATCTCAGTTTCTCCACGCACATCAGGACCCTTACATTAGGAGCAGAGACCAAAAATGCAAGTATTAGTTATGCAGTTGTATGCTGTGCCCCTTTTCATAAAAAGATTTTTATTGATTCTTGGTGGTTCTTTTTAGTTGTGTGTGAACTGAGTGAATATTGCCATTCATGAGCTAGGTTCTATATTTCCTTACATTTCCATGTTTCATGTATTGTACACTTTGTTCATTATTCGTTAGTCATGAAATCATTAAATACCACATGTATTGTCTTTGTTTTGCCTCACAGAAATGGTCACTTTAAGGGTAAAGATCTTCTTTTTGCTACCAGCTTTATTAAAATTACTTTAAACTTTTACAATTCTCTTACTTTACAAGAAGTATTGTTCCCTTTTCAAATATATAGACAATTAAAGGAGTGGATAAATTTATTGTTATTTTTATTTGGGTATACAGTATTTAACTGTAAGTTTAATCTTAATATTTATAAATGCATAATAACTTGTTACTAATAATTATTAATATTCTTAAACCTTGAGCTAATTTCTTTATGTATATTATGATGGAGAATGCGGGCATGGTTTTAAACTACCTTTCTGTGAAGTACGCTTTGTCATTCCATTGTGTTTTATTGTGTAAGAGCTTACAGAACCATAGGCTCCTCTCCAGCTGGACCCCTTGTTGCACTACCACAGAGTATTAAAGCGAGTTGATGTTAACTCTTAAAATATTCCGCAGATCATAATATTTAAAATCAACTTTACGAAGGCCACAAGTCTCTTTCAGATGCTTTAAATATTATCGTGCCTGTCAGAAGAGATTTCCCTCTTCTTCTTCTAAAATATTTTGGTTGATAATTAACAAATTTATCTGTTAAAAGCCTTAGCTAGATTGAAACTAGTTTGTTTCTGTTTCAAATTTCTAGACTACAGTATAATCTCTTGTAGTTTTAAACCGTTAGAGTAGATAACTAACAGTTTTAAAACTTATTCGCTGCAGATTTAAATAATTTCAGAACGCTGCTTGTCGGCTTCTAAGTTAATATTGGGAGTCTCAAGCTTGCCTATTATAGTCGCTTTCTCGAAAAGGAATCTCAGAATTATAAGCGTAGTACTGAAATGGTACTGATATCTGATATGGATGTAAATTGTAAACATGGATGAAAAATGTAAAAATGGATGTCCCATTTTTAAATAGCGTTAGCCTATTCTCTTAAAATAGTCGTCAAAAAGTCTAGACTTGCGTGTGAAACTTCCACAGTAGTATTGAGAGACGACGACTCATATTCCATGTTTGTTAGTTTGTTTAGAATTAGCGATATAATCCTTTGGTTAGATGTAATAACTCAGTGTAACAGTAACGTGATAAAAGAGGTGAAAGGGTAACAAATCTGAGTGATTCATAGTTGCTGTCTGTGGAGTGAGTTGTGGTCAGTTTATGAAAGATACAAAATTTATGAATGAAATCACGAGTGCAGTATCACTGAGTGCTCGTTGGCTTTCCCCTCACACATCTCGTGCATGTCCACGTTGGCTGTAAATGAAATGATACAGCCAAACCTACGGAAAGCGAAACATGCTTTTACAGTTCAAACTTATGATGCCACTCACATCTCAGACCAGCTAAACAAACCACTAATGGCTAACGGCAGCCTAGATAAACTTAAATCCTCTGTCTTTCCCTGCTCTCCTTTCACAGTTTCGCCCACTATTGTGTTGATCTCAAGGATCGATATTATTTTATCCAAACAATATTCTGGTCTACTTGGTCCCCACTTAGGACTAGAGAGTTTTCCTTTTTTGTTTAGATTGTTATTATTATTATTATTATTATTATTATTATTATTATTAATATTGCTGTTTATTATTTAAGTTTTTTGTTATTTTCACTTACTTTGACCTGCTCAGATACCACACTAATGAGAACCACCAAGGTAACCTAAATAACTGATTGATAACCCTGAATGACTGAACCTGATTGACTAAACCTTATGGCCATGATGAAGGTATCAATCATAATCTAGTCCTCCTGCTTTAACTTCTGTGTCTGACCCACAAGGGTTTTAAGACAACCAATGTCTGGCCCGCACATTTCACCTAGCTGATGGCACTGTCAAACTAGTAATATAGCTGTTTAATATAGCTATAAATTACTAAATTTTGCACAAACTTGCATTGGCGCTTTTTCTCCTGTGTTATCTTTGTCTCACACCAGCTATCCAGTATGTTGCTTGCACCCAGCCCTGTCATTCCCTGGGACCCACTGGAGGCCTGGTTAAAAACCTTAACCCATACCATCCTGCCCAAATCCACCACAGACCTGCAGCTGCTGAGCAAAGAAGAGCTGGACGCCCGCATTTATCAACTGATGGTGAACAACAACCCGGCCGAGTGTCGAGACGGCAAGGAGCTGGCTAAACTCACTGGAAACCTCGCATACATCCTTCTCGCCCAGGCAAGGTTGATCAAAAAAGATTTTATCCAACTGGAGCATCAGGCCAAGGAGGCTCAGGACGCATGTGAGGCGATGAGGGAAAAGAACGCAAAACTTCAGGAGCAAGTGGACAAATTACAGAGCCCCCAGATGAAGCAAAGCATGGAAAATGGAGAGAGGGAGCAAAGAGAGAAGGAAGCCAAAGATGATCCGAGAGTAAGGCTGCAAGAGTCTGAAACACCACTGCAGACAGCAGAGCCTAAACTAAGTGACAAGAAGCTTGGGCTAAAGTATCTGAATAGGTCTGCATGATTAATCGTTTTTTGAACAAAATCGCAGATTGAAAGGGTGCGATTTTCAAATCGCAAAAGCTGCGATTATTTAAATTTGCTAGCAAGCATATAGTTTTTGAAAGCTTTGGCAGTTCATAGGCATATCATCCTGAACAATTAAAAAATTTTAACAATCTAAATGTAAGCGTTTTTATATATCTTTATATTAGGCATGCTTTTTCAGATTAATTTTCCCAGCCGGCAACCGTCACTCGTTAACCAAATATTAACCATTAACCAATCAGAGGTCCGTTTCCCAAACAACAACATAACTCGCACTGAACCATCATAGTACTATGCATCGTTTGGGAAAAGAACAAAGTAGTGACGAGTGTTTCCCAAAACTGTAGTTTCTCTGTCGCAGATCCATCATTTGAACCACGTTAGTTATAACGTAAAATGTCCATAATGACGCTCTAAATGGGGCGGAGTTACAATTTCTATTGAGAAAAACCCATCCT